AGTTCTTCATCTCCTTTGATGAGGAACTTCCTCCTTCCTCCTCCATTGAGCTCTTCTCCTGCCCATCAACATTCTTGGAAAAAAAGTAATGTGGGACTCAGTCTCCATCAGTCGAGGACAACATTTCAGTGTGGAGCAGACCCATATCCTCTCGTTGGTCACCTGTAGAGTATTCCTTCCATAGAGGGTGTTTGTGTGAGCTCATTCTGACTTGTGTCGCAAAGCAGTGTCTGCCAGGGAATTAACCATTTTCAGCCCCAAACTGAATACTGGATCTTGAGATTCTTATTTCATTCTCAGCATTGCTAAGGAGCTTCTTTTTTAAGCTGGTAAACTGCTTTCAGAGTTTGGTTGTCTTGGTGCTGAAAGGCGCAAGGTCTTGCCCATTTCTGTGCAGATGGACAAACTGTGCTCAAGTTATAGCAAGTCTGTTTTGGAGACCACAATCGTGACATTTCCATCTGTCACTGGACTATAATCCATCAGAGCTCAAGTCGTGCTGGTTGGTGGGAATGCCTAACGTTTGTCAAGCACCCATCGGGAGGCTCTCCGTACCTTCCATACCTTCTCCTTACCAAATCCCATGCTGTTGCAGAAGCAGCACCAGGGATGTAGCATGTCGCAAAGTGGACCAAAATTGCTGTGTGAAGGATTCAGAGGCCCGTCCCGTGTAAGTCTATGACAGTTATTGGTTAGTCATGAATAGTGTTGAATATTTGTGAACAGTCTTTCAAAACAAAGAAAAAAGGAGGTTACTTAGCCTCCTTTGAGATATGCCGCCCAAACATACATTTCCTCTGCCCGCCATCCTTCTGGGTATTCACCTGTGTTGGGATCTTGCAACAGAATGAACAAAACCAACCTCATGGTTTGCTGCCTTCTCCGTGCATCAGGGGTGAGGAGAGAAGCACAGGATGGATTAAGAACAAACACTTGTTACCCAGCTTCGAGGGTTAATGTGTTGTGAATGTAAGTCTTGAGTGCACTTCCAGATAGTTTTGGTTGCTCCTAAAATGACCTTTCTGTTGCCTTCAGACTGAAAAGGAATCTAAAGATAACCAACATTGTTATCTGGCATGCTACTTTAGAGCTCACTTAACGTATATGGACATCCCACAGTATTTTTCCTTTTCGGGATTAATTCCTGGATTTTTGTTTCTGTTATACTTTAAATGCTTGCTTGTCCATACATCAGGGCTTTGGCTAGCTAGAGAGTCATTTTATACAGCCTAGAAAGCACACCAGCAAAGCTGTTTCTCTTCACCTTTTTGCTCCGAGTTCTAAATGCTGCTCTATCTGAATCTCTGTATCTTTTCATTGTAAGGCTCTGAATATTTCTTTTCTCTCCCACTGTGCTCGTTTTTGCAGTGCATGCTCTTGAGAGTAAGTGTTGCTGTATCCTTTTTTTTTTTTTCCCCCCCAAACTGTTTATTACAGAACTAACGCAATTTCTATTGTTTGCTGTGCCCGTACATCTCCTTTGAGAGGAGCTATTGATCTAGGCTGGGATACTTGGGAAGATTTCCTGAAAGCTAAAAGGAGAGCCATCCCAGGTCGTTTTTCTGTGGTAAATTGTAGGGACTGATTCACGGACTCTGGCGCGGGTAAAACCAAAGACCTTTATTGTTTACAAGTTTGTGCTTATATAGATTCACTAGCTGTCCACGCACTCTAGTTTGTTCATGGATTGGTTAACCCCTGCTGTCCACGCGCCGCAGCTAAGCTTTTAATTGGTGCTGTTAATCAAGACACACGTCTTCCAGTTTCGGTCTCACATCTGTGCTTCAAAACATTTTTATCTTCAGCTCCCTTTCTGCGCTTGCTTCATTACTTGCTTTCTCATTCTGTGTCCTTTAAGGCTATGTTGAATTGTTCAAGGTCACTCACAACACTCCCTGTGAATCCCACAGTAAATGAGGTCACCAGATGGAAGAGGTTGAGAACCTTGGTCTTAAATGATTTTAATATATCAGTGTTGGAGTTAATGTTTTGGCAGATTATTATTTGCTCTGTGCAGATAATGTAATTGAGGGAGACATGGTGACACGCTGGAGAGGCTTCTGCCTTTTGAAGTCAGATGGGATAATTATCTCATTTAATCTCATTTGTACAGTAGGATGCAGAATTTCTCCTGGGAATTCAGGAACCAAGCCTGCTAATCTCAGAATACTCGTAGGAGGTTTTCCGAGGGTTTGTGAGCCATGGGATTTTTTTAAGGGTAGTCATGGTGATTACAGGTTGAGATGTGATGTTTCCACTCAGTAACATCTGGTAGAGGGCTCAGGCTCTCGGCTTTGCTCCCTCCCTCCCCTCGCTGCAACATTTTCCGTGTTGCTCCCTGCCTCAATCCCCTCTTCACGATGCATCCTTCTGCCACTCATCATCTGCCTGCCGCTGTGCTTTTCCTCCAGAAAAGTCATGCCCAGTTTGAAAACAGGTGTCCTAGCTCACCTTGGAGCAACATGTTTGGGTAGCTGTGTCTTGGATTTCTTGCAGTCTTAATGTGTTTATTGACAGAGCCCGGAGAAGCAGTAAGTGCTGTTAACCCTGTTCTACAGGTAAAGGACTGAATTTCGGCGTCTACAGAGGCTTTGTGGCTGTTGAGGCCAGAAATGCAAGATGGGGAGAAGTCTTCAGATAGACAGCAGTTCTTAAAGCTGTGTTACTAAAACAGTGAAGAAAACTAGGTTCCATAAAACCAGACGGACTTTTGGACAAACTTCAGGTGATTGACAGGTCTCTCTATTTTACCTAGCTAGGCAACCTGAGCTGTGACCTGGAGCATATACATGTGTGCTTAGCATAATCCTGAGTGATCAAAGATAAATAAACCTGTGGTCTGGTGGCAGACTGTTTTAGAAACTGAAGGTATCAATCAGGCTTTTCCGCAGAGTTGTAAATCATTGATTGGAGAGGAGTTTTACAGAAACTAATGAATTGGTGTTTTATCTGTGGAAGGCGTGGCAGAGCACTGTGGAGAAATTTTGTTTTGGATAGCCATAACTGTTAACGTGGGTCATGCGTGATGTAAATCTAGTGTAGCAGGCTAGTTAATGGCTGGTCTTTCTCAAGTGCTGCCCTTCAGTCTCTCTGGTACTGTGCAGTTACTGTAAGACTTGTCAGCCCTACTAGTACTGGGCTCCCACTTCCATGCTAGCAAATGTGACTCCCCAAGTGTTCCAGCTGACGAGCACCATGGTCCTGCGGAGGGTTCTGGGAGCACAGCTCCCAGGAGGAGCACCCCTGTCCCTCCCGCTGCATCGCTGCCCCACGCCGGCACCAGTGCTGGGTCAGCTCTGACACCGACCTTCCTTTGGAGCTGCTCTGCCTGGAAGAAGAGCCTCACATAAAGCGATCCTTACGCTTCAGCCCGTTACGGTCTGTGATGTGGCTCGGGACCGAAAGGAGGGTGGGACAGGAATGAGCAGGAAGACGGGGGGACAAAGACTGTTTTATTCCTTTGGCAGTGGGTCAAGTTTAAATGCAGATCCACCAGAGCCAGGATCTCTGTAGAACTTTGTTGTTAACTGAAGCTTAGCCTGCTGGTGTCTGTATGAAAGGCAGCGGGACTTGACACTTGACTGACAGCTAAGCCACTTAACTCTTGACTTAAGTGCAAATAGTACTGCAGCCTGAAACGGGGGGGTGCTGGTAACAATTCAGAAAAACCGCAGCATAATCCCAAGGCGCCTTCTCCTTTCTTGCCTTTCCCCACCCACCATTTCGCATCTGTTTCCAAACTTGTAGTAGACATTTCTTTCTAAAAGCCAAGTGAGCTCTTGTAATACAAGTAAAGCTTCTGGTGTTTTACTGGAAGACAGTAACGGGAAAAAAATGAGTTCCAAGCACAGTCATGTTAAACAAATGTTTTAAAGGAGAGGCCTGTTCAAATCAGTTCTTTAGCTTTGCAGCCTGCCTTGTGCTAGGCTGTAGGTCAGAAACCCTTCAAGGGAGCAACGTACCTAATCTTTGTTAATAATGTAGAAGCACTTGGTGATCTGACTCTGTCAACTCCTAAAATAATAGCCCACGGTTTCTGAAGTGTGTTTTTCTTTGCTAAGATGAAAGGTGAGGTCTGACTTCCTGAGCATGTGAATTTGCCTGTTAAAATGCACCACAGCCTCTGGCTACTTTAAGATCATTGTGTGACTTTGGATAAACCTGGCAGAAGCAATACTGAAATGGAGTGGTAGGTTATATTTTTATCCTGAGACTGATGCTTCTGGCACTGCATAAAGTAATTGAAGTAGCCAGCCACAAGATACCCGTTGCCTCTCATTGCCCGTATCTTTGCCAGATCCCTTCTGGGGGTGCGTGGTGCTGCCGGCATCACCACATTGCTGTATGCAGGAAGGGCAGAGAGAGGACAGGCCAAATTCCCCAAATGCTAGCACTGATGACAGTCCCCTTGGCCCCACCAGTGGTTTGCAAATACCCTGCTCAGGCTGTCCCCGCAAAGACTTTTCCTTTCCCTTTGTGTTCTCTGCGCAGCAGGAACAAGGCTGACAGGCAGGGTGCTGACAGTTACTACGGTGATGATGATGATGATTTCTTTAGGGCAGTTGCATGTGATATTAAGGCACATGCTCTGCTCAGTTGCTAGTTTAAATCTGTTGTGCCTCTGTGCTTTACAGTAGAGAAGGTATGGGTATGAGGTGGTGGCCGAGGGAACAGTGAAGTTTTCCTTGCTTGCCCCTGTTTTTGCTATAGATGAAGAATACATTCAGATGAGGACTGAAATACCTTATCTGAAGTAACCCCAAATTAAAGGGACTCTTGCAATGGCTAGTCTATGTCAGGAGGGGAATTGCAGCAGTTGTATCTGTCACAGGCCCTGCTGCAAGCAAGAGAGAAACCCAGGCGATTTTCTTGTTGTTTTAGATCATGATAGAAATGAGATAGAAAAAAGATAGAAATTACCTTATAAGCTACAAGAAGGTAAATAGAAGTGCTTGTTACCACAGTCTGAACGATAGTGTTAAACTGTTTTTCCATTACAGTTCACGATCTGCAGAGCTTCGGACTTGATAATGTAAGTGTTGCCAAGACAGTGTTCTGGTTCTGTGGGTCTGTTTTCCTTCTGGATTTCCCTCCCTTTGCCACATTGAGCTCCTAGTGTGCTGATCCCGGCCGGATTTGGCTTTATGAGTCTGAGCAGAACCTGCTCAGGGATCTGCTTTCACACAGGGCTCCCAAGTATGTTCTGGCACATCTGCCTGTCACTTGGCAAGCCCGCTCCCTCTTCCTCAGACTGCCTTGCTCCTTCATCTGTGCTTCCCAGTTTTCTAAGGTTGACATTTTCACAGCTGCTTCTGGATCTGTTGGGAGTTTCCCTCGTGCTGGGAGGAAAGCAAATGACACCCATAGCTGTTGCACCGAGGGAGCTGGCAGCATGGTGCTCCCATGGCAGGGAGAGGAGTGGGTGGGAGAGCCTGCTTGGTAGATGGGAGAGAAGGGCACTGGGATCTGGGGATTTCCTGCAGGAAGAGGAGAAATTTCACATCTTGGAATCTCCTGTGAAGAAAAAAGAAGAGCAAGTGCTTTGGAGCTTACTGTTAGGACGCATGGAGTGAGGGAGGACCTGTCTCTGTTCCAGAGCCACACTCAGAAAAATAGACAAATAATTAACTTCAGGCCCCTCACCTTGCCCCTCGGATGCTGTGCAGTTGTTTGAGTTCCTAGCATTTCCATTTCAGATCAATATGACGCACTATATCAAACATCTCTCCTTTGGAAGGGATTATCCGGGCATTGTGAACCCTCTGGATGGGACGGACGTCACTGCAGAACAAGGTAAAAGCCAGCTGAGAGAAACCTCTTTTTAAGTGTCTGTATTACTAAGTGTTAGAACGTGAGCAAAGTTCCCAGTCTTTATCAAGAACCCTGACAGCGTTGTGTGAAACGTGGACTCCTCCACCTTGTGCTCTTCCTGGAACAGCTGGCTTCATGCATCTGGAACAAATCTGCCAATGTGTTTTGATTCTGTGACCTTTCTGAGAGATCTCTCTTTTCAGTGTTAATGGATGCACAACAGCAGGTACAGCACATCATTATTAAATGCCTGCATCGGGGGTTGTTCAGGGAGAGCCCTGTCTGGCTGCTGTGTGCAGTAGGAGATAATCAGAAGATGCAGGATAGAGAAAAAAGGCCTAATTGGTAGTTACTGGAGAGCTGTGGTGTCTGCCTGACTTTGACCCGAGAGTAACAGCTGAACAGCTGCAGTGAAGTTGAAATATTGCTGATCTTTTCTAGATAGCTCCAGTTTGCTGGCTTGAGAAGGAAAGACAATTCTCCCCTCATGCCACTGCTGCTCAAACTATAATCTTGGTTTATTCATACAAGCCTGCTTGTGTGCAGTTTCCATGAAAGATCCTGACCGTACCACTTTATATGCCACTGCAGAGATTAGTGGGATTTTTTTTTTGATCCACTGAAGTCTGCCAAGTTTGTCTTTGCAGGTACATGGGATGCTGTTATATAGCAAAGCTTGGAGAAGGCAGTCGTTTGCTTTGAGGTGGTGCTAGGACTCTTAATCCTACCTGAATCCATTCTTTTAAATTTTCCACCATGGGTTTTAAGTCCTGTACCCAAATGAAAGGATGGTGCTTAAAATAAAATACAGAAAAATGAAAAGGTGATATAATGCTCGATATGATTGTGATGCTGTAGTTTTTCTGTGAAGTAACAAACTCTGAGAAGGGGGCCTGTAGCTGGCTGGTAAAATTCTCTCTAGGCTGAAGCTTTCCATCCTGGGCCTCGGAGAAGCAGTTGGCAGATTCTTGAGGAATTAGGACTGAAGACCTGCTCTGGAACAGAAATGGGAGTAGATGGCAGGTCAAATTTACATTTATTGCAGACCAGCTAAAGATATTATATACGAGAATTACTTCTGTAGAAATGGATGAATAATCTTCTCCTCTAGGGAATTTCATAGAAAATAGGTTTTCAAAGCGACTCCTGCCTTCCATTACCCTTAAGAGAACTCAAGGAACAGGTTGGTCTGAGGCAGCAGCAGGAGTTCTCCTCCTATTTTTTTTTCTTCTCTGATCCAGATCTTCCTTTTCATCTCCTGATAAAAACCAGGCTTCTACAGGAATAAACTGTGGTGTTATTTGAAGTTGATACAGGATACTCATTTAGAGTTGAGTATGTTTTCTTAGGGCTATGCTGTTAAATATAAAGGTTTTCATGTGCTAGAATAAGAATTTTCAGGAAGGTGTACTGGTAAAAACCATAGCAATATAACTGGTTTGTAGACAGTTTTCAATGTAGTCAAGACCAAAATGCCAGTAGTTTTGGTTTTGGTTGGAAGAGGAACAAGATTCACTTCGGCAAAAGGAAAACTCGTGTCAGACATTAACTTTACTGTCCTTGAAAACCTCCAGTAGATGTTGTGCAGAAAGATGTTCCCTAACAAGTTGAACAAAACCAGTTTGTGTCTATACCTAACCTGTCAGTTCAGCTTTCCGGCTCTTCAGCGGTTATTAATTGTGTCTCTCTGTCTTTGCTTATAGCTTCCATGATGTTTCAGTATTTTGTCAAAGTGGTCCCCACGGTGTATATGAAAGTAGATGGTGAAGTAAGTACCTTTTTTCCCCTATTGCTTTGGCAAGTGAAAGTCTTCAGGCTTTCTCCTCATATTCTGATGCTGACCATATCTGAACTCTGGTGGAAGCAACGCAATCTGTTTGACTTTCTTTGTATCACCACCCCAGCAAGAATAACAATTTCTGTGGTGTAATGTTATCTGTAATGTTGCAGCAATGATGAAGCAGATTTCAGCCTTCTCCATCATGTGGGCAGATCAAAGTGACCATGCCATTTTCATCATGTTCCCTCAGAGTGCATGCTGAGGAGAAGTCAAAGCAGCAAGGAGATTCTAAAAATGTTCTTTGGAGAATAACCCAAGATCAGCTTGTCTCCAATTTAATAACTCCTTCAGCCTCCAGAATAGGGTGGCTAGATTTCCAGCCCTACTTTCAGAATATGTCCTTCTTTTGGGACAGGTAGGATAAACAAATTACTGAGGAGATACCTGGGTGAGACAAAGATCCTGAGAATGGAGACAAACTTAGACTCTCTTCTGAAGCCAGCCTGAGGGAGCAGAAAGACTGTGATTTCTTTCCTTCGTTTGGAAGTGTTTATTTTGATTGCCGTCATTCTGCAGGGGATCTCAAGAGCTACAGAGAGCCCCTTTTTAAAAACCAAACCAAACCTGGCAGTTACCGTTATTTGAGCCCCCATAGTCTTAGGGCAGCAGAATGAATGATGTAAGCTGTTATGTTTCTTTTGGAAAGAAAACAGCAGCAGAGGCAGCAGCTCTACTGTTGTGCAGAGTTCAGCACCAGTTCTACCTAGTGTACTTGCCCAGCCCTGTGAGGAAGAGACAGGCGCCGTGTGCCCTGGTACCTCTGAACATTCACGTACGAGATGGCTTAGCTCCCTAGCTGTCTCCCAGGTTTTGGTGCTCTATCCTGTACGCTGCACAGGTGGTCCATGCCCAGCTTCGCTTTAACACCAAACCCAAGTGTGGTCCTGGGCCTTGTTCAGTACAAGGACTGATCTGCCTGTGGATGAAACTGTGCCAGAATTTGACTCCCTTGTCCTACGCAGTTTTACAACGCCATGCAAACCCCGCGACACTGGGAACCCTTACCACCTCATGCTCTTCACCCAAACTCGTGCCACTCTTGGGCCTGTACCACATATCCCTGCAATCAGAACAACATACTGCTGCACATCCGCACAACCTTCATGTTGCTTTAGGCACTCTGAAGTGTAAATCACTGGCAGATTATTAATTATGTCAGAGGCTGTGTAGGAACCACAAATCTGAGGAGCCACACAGCCACAGTTGATACAATGCAAACATTCAAGTGAAGCTGTCCTAGAGCAGTGTGGGCAGAGCACTCTACATCTACCTTTCCAATGGATTCTGTTAGTTTGTATTTCTTCATCTGCCCTAAAGACTGGAACTGTTTGCAAGGCTCAGTTCTCATGTGATAAATCCTTATGTGGACCACCCTTTCTTCAGTCCCCTGCTGAGAGAGGACCCATCTGTTCTTTCCTGGAAGTTGGATGGGAGTTAACCTCTGTGAGGCAATACTGGGAGAACCTTCAGACCACGTTTGAAGCTCATTCTGCTTGGATTCAGGATGCCTCTGCAGTTTCTGCGGATGACGAATTCCTGAAGTACAAAGGATTGTTAATCGGAGCCCTATTCTTGTGGCCACCTCCCAGTATACCATGGCTTCTATTTCTCTTGATGAAATCTCGCAGTCTACTGTAAAGCTGTTGTTCAGTTTTCAAAGGACTTTTCCTGTCAAAAGCATTGCTTTTTGTTAGTCACCAGGAGAGGAATCCATGCAGACCATGCTGCTTATACTGATGGTAACTATGGATCCACATGTGCTGCGAGATGTATACCAGGGGCTGTGTTATAAATTCAGTGCTTGGAACCCCCAAATGTGGAATTTGGTAAAGAAACTGGATAGTATCTTTCTCAGCTTGGGTCATAACCTGTGTCAGATAGCTTCTTAGGGATGATAGGACTTGCGGTTGAGATCGAGAGGGACGGCTTATGCCATTACTTGCCAGCAGAGACCAAAACAGTCCAGCCTGGGGACTAATGCATCACTCATTCTTTGGGCTAGCTGGGACTTTAACTGGTAGCCTGTAGTAAAAATAGACTTGATCCTGGTGATGTTCTTTATGACCCTTTGTAACCACTGTGATGCCCCCTGCAAGTGAGTGGGCAGGGCTACCTTGATGCGGTTCACTGAATTCATGTTTTAGTAGCCTTTCCTATTCCTCGTTAACAAAACAACGTTTGCTGTGTTTGTTTCCTGCTAGGTAGTAAGGACTAACCAGTTTTCGGTTACACGACATGAGAAGATAGCCAGCGGGCTACTAGGAGACCAGGGTCTGCCTGGTGTATTTGTGCTGTATGAACTTTCGCCCATGATGGTGAAGCTGACAGAGAAACACAGGTAAGAGATGTTTCAATCTATTTCATTCACCCTCCATTGATTTTGTCATTTTGCGTAGCTTAAAAGTCCATCCTCGCTTAGACGTGACAGTGCAAATGCCTGAAAGCCATCCAAGCCCCTTCCCAGTCAGTGGAGAGAAGATGCCCTTCCTCTCCATGTGAATGTCTGAAAGGGATTGGGGCTTTTCTGATATTACCTGAAGCGTTTTGATCCCGTATCAAGATGGAGAAGGATTGGTGCAGTGAGCAAAGTCTGATGTAATGATTCTCAGTTCAGACTAATTTCCTCAAAGTCTTTTTTTAATGGGAAGATTAGATTTGTATAGCATACCCCTCTTATCAGCACCTACAGCAGCACCCGTACTGATCTGACCTGGTTACTTACTCTGCATTTGCTGTAGCTTTTCTGCATGTTGTAGTCAGTGTGGAACCTCTTTCTTCTTTCCTCTGTTAATCACAGGCATGTAATTGCAGGGGAATGGAAAGAGTTGTAGCTATCCAATCTTTTAGGGTCATAATGAGGGACAGCCAATGTCTGTACCTTAAAATGTATTAACATGTGCTTAGGGATTTAGTTTTTGTGGTACAGCAGCCTGCTGTCTGGGTAGGAATGGATAAAATCTTAGAGATTAAAAGGTCCATCCTTTAGGTTTATAAATGTAGTTACCTTCTAGTGTTGCTATTGAACTCATTAGAGCGCACTGCTTTAATGCTACTTAAAGCTGCTCAGTAAAAGTATCAGTGACAAACTCCATTCTGTAGGCAATGGGAGTTATTTAATTGTTAAATCTGTTAATTGTCAGCTATTGATATTTATATAATGCATACTTGTGTGTGATGATGAACATTATGAGAATTATGAATTAATTTTTATTAGTTAATTGTTACTTTCCTGACATATTGGTATCTAAACTCATGCTGGTGGTTTAAATTTTTTCCTCATTCTAGGTCGTTTACACACTTTCTCACGGGAGTTTGTGCCATCGTTGGAGGCATATTTACAGGTATTGCACCTTTCAATCCTTTTTCTTTCTAAAGTATAAACATTTGCCATCTTACTCTTTCTAAAGTCCACATGGCTCTTAATAAATCCTTGTTTGATGAGGAGAGATGATTTCAGCCTTCAGGAGGGGATGTAGCGTGTTCTGCAGAGCCGTGGGAGTGGCGTTAGATTGTAACTAGCACTGCAGGCTTTCAAGATGCTGTAGATGATGTAGACCTATTACAACATTTCATGTGATAAAATATTTCATTATGATGTAGACCTATCATAATATTTCAGTTTGGTGCTCTACAGCATATTTTGTTCTCAAATAATGCAGTCTTTCACATAACCATATGAATGCATCTGTACTGTTTTCTTGGCCAGCTTGGGTCTGCAAGCAGATAGTTGCTTTCATGTGGAACCAAAGCCAGTAAAATCTGTGCACCCAGGTCGCCATGGGCATAGCCATCTCAGAGGTCTCAAACTGTGTTCCCAGACATAGGAGCTCCAGTGAGGGCTCTGCAGGGACTAAAAGTAGCTCTCGCAGCTAGACAGGATCCTGTAAGGAGAGGCTGTTCCTGCAGAGCCATTTGAGTGTCTGGACTTCATTCTCAGTGCTCGCTTCTGGAATAGCTAATCTGTATCTGCTCAGCTCTGTGTGTGTGACAGAGCCCGGCCTTGGTCCAGCCTTGCACTCCAGCTGAAACAGGGTACTCTGAAACATAGTCAGAGATGTTCATGTAGCTGTGATGGGCCAACCTGGAGATCTGATCAGCAGATCTTACTGGATCTGAGAAGCCAGCTGCTGTATCATGTAACACCTGTATCACATACCTATATCACATAATACCTTCCTCTGCAAGGTTTTCCCATCACCTGAGGTGTCTCAATGCTCAATTAACCTCATACTGTTAAGCAGGTTGTCTGTCTGTAATAAATTTGACTATACTCATTTCTATGGTTGAGTCAGGGAAGGGCTTTCAGAAATTATTTTCATGACAAATGCAAGTGCCCTGTAGCACTGATGAGGTTTGACAGCCAGTCCATAGTGTTTGCTGCCATACACCATGTTCAGATTCTCTGTATTCTAGAAGACAAATCAAATCAGCTGTGTAACGGTTTTTGTGTTACAGCATCAAATTGACTCCACAAGTAGAGATAATTTCAGGGCAAAACAACCACAGAAGACAGTCATCTGAAGCATTACTTGAAGACCAGATAGTAAGGCAAATAATTCCATATGCTACAGTAATAAACAGAAGACTCAGTTCCCATTTTAGCTGCTACTCTACGTATGTATTGGAACGTCTGTCTTTGTCTAGGGCCAAGTAATCGCTTACTTATTCCTTAGATTGAGAAGCTGAATAAAAGAAAAAAAGAACATGAAGCTTCATAAAGGCATTGAAAATTCCCTGTGTTCCCTCCCTGGCGGGAGCTCAGGGTTCCTGTCCTGTGAAAACCACCTCGATGGATGCAGGGTTGTCTGGGACTTCTGGTGCAGTAGACCCGTTATGAGCTTTTCTGTGGTCCCAAACAAGCACTGAATTAATAGGCTCCTTCAGTGCTGCAGAGATTTGGGGAAAATACTGCAGAAAGAACTAAAGGCATCGGTTTGTTTTGCTTTGTGTCCTTGGGTAAACATTGCGGTCTCCGATAAAGAGCATCCATCTAGGGCAGCATCGGGTAGAGTAGCGTACTTTTAAGGTTACTGTGAAATGAGCAAGAAATGGGAAACATGCCCTTGGGAAGTGGGGTCAGGGCAGGGACATGGCATAAAGCTGTCAGCATCAAGTTCCTCTCCGAACTCTTCACTCATCAGTGAACACACGTGACTCAGCCTGTCTCATTTATACTTCTGTAAGAGAAAACTTTTTCTGGAGAAGCGTGATCACCTCTGCCCTGCAAGCTGTATCTTGTCTGTCCTACTGAGGCATATATCTGAGCAGCAGCAGCTGTTTTCTGTCTGGGGGAGCTGGAATTCCTTTCCACTGACAGAAGGGTTTGTGTTTGTTTTTTTTTTTCCCCTGGGAGTTGTTCTCTCTGTGAGGCATGTCTGGCTTAATCCATCTGTTTTTTCCTTTTAGTTGCAGGATTCATTGACTCCTTGATCTATCACTCAGCACGTGCCATCCAGAAGAAAATTGAACTTGGGAAGACAGCATAAATAAGCAATGACCTCACCCCACAAAAAAACCTCTAAGGAGAGCTATACAGGTTTTTAGAAACACAAGTGATCTTCTGAGCGTGCAGAGAAGAGTTTTGGAGTTACCAGATGGCCCCACTGCTCTTATGTTACTGTCCCATCATTCTTTGGCATTAATTTGTAGATGGAACTGCTTGAACCTTGCTGCTATAAAGATTGGCCATCTTGTCTGGCTGTGCAGACCCTACTGTAAAAAGCCTTTTGTGTCAGTCCATGTTCATCCAGTTCCACCCTCTCCCCAAAAGAGATGCTGGAGATACTGCATTCTGTTTGCCTCCAGGAATAGTGTACAGTGTTGTCATGAGACCTGGAACGAATTGAAGTTGCCATCATAAGCTTTCTAGCAACACCATCTAGCTTTTTTAATTTTTCTTAAAAATATTTCTGAGTGTCCTGATGCTGTATGCCAAATCTCTGAAAACGTGCGCTTTCCTTCCAGCTGTCCTGGGCAACGTGGTGAGACCTAGCACTTCAGATGTGCTTCCTGTGCCGTGGGGCATTGCAGTTGCTCCAGATTCCTGCTCTTATGAAAGATGCAAGTTGATGTTTCAGCAAAAAAAGTGTTTGGAGTTTTAATTGATTTTTAAATTGGATTATGTTTTCATTTCCCCTCTGTTTATATTTTGAAATAAAGTCCATCCTCTGTGTCTTTTGGTAAAGCATTTGGAAGAATAATTAAATTATTTGAACTAATCCTTATACTGAATTGGAAATTATAATTAAACACACACCTGTGTTGTAGCAAAGTATGTAGAGAAGATGATGTGTTTTTTTTTCTTTTTAATGATCTGCACAAGTGAGTAAAGTGTTTGGTATGTGAAATTATATTGGGAGAAATTTTGAAAATAAGGAGGAAAAATAACATAGTGTAGATTCCTGCCTCATTTTGAGGCAAAACAGACTCATTACTCTTAAATCTCAGCTCTGGATTTGCTTTATAAACTTGGTCCAAGCCATTGGTTCAACAGTGCACCGTGCGTGTGACAGGCACAGGATCAGATCATGCAGAGAGAAAGCCATTTTATAATTCATTTGAAAGGAGTTTTTGTTTATGAGGTTTTGGTTTGGTTTTTTTTTATTAGTTGAACTTATCTACAAACCAGGGAGTATAAAAACCTGTGCTTTTTCAGTTGGGGGAGAGAAGCAGTTTGAGGTGTGGGTAAGGAGACTGATTAATCTCCAAGTTACAATGCTGAAAAAAATGGGGTTGTTAAAAAAAAAAAAAAAAAAAAAATTAAAACAAGAATGATTAAAGAATGATTAATAAATCCCTTGGGTCAGGATCATATAGCACTGCTGCAATGTGAGGAAGGGGACATAGTATCTATATCTTTTATGAGGAACAAAAAGTGACCTGAACAACATCAATTGCTCAGCAGAGTAAACAACTTTCAAATTTAGTTACAAAGAATTATCACGAGGGGGAAGATGAATGGAAATAATGGAGCAAGAGTTTAACCCACAGTTAAACAATTACCAGCTAATCGGTTGCCCTTGATAAGGAAGCCAATTACTTGGAAACCTCCAAAAAGCATTGGAGAGCATCACACAGACCATGGCTTAGCACCTAGAGAAAACAGAGGGACGGTGAAGGGACAGGGAAGTGGAAGACTTGTATTCAGTGTGGGAAACTGAATGTGATGGAGGAGAGAAAGAGAAGACACGTACAGAAATGGAGCTTCTACCTGGAGAGGTAGAAAATCAGTGAAACTAAGAGTTAAGTAATACAGGATTCTGCTAAGGATTAGGAGAGATCTGGTGATTTTAATAGCCTGAAAGACCAAGTGAGTGATAGCCATGGAAAAGCTGAGTCTGATTCAAGGGTGTTCATGTTTGTGATTCAAAGTGGGAAAAGGCATCCTGCTAACCCTGCTCTGGAGGAGAAAACCTCGTTTGGGGAGCTTGGCTTCCAGGGTCTGCAGTCGTCTTCTGCAGGGTGGAGGCTGAGCTGGATTGTGCTGTCTTTTCAAAGCAGTAAGGGCTCAAAAAGTAAAGCAAATGTTAACAATAGATTCGCATGTGTTTTGAAAGTTTATTCAATATAAAATCATTTCAGCTGTACTTGATTTTGTTGTCTTCTGGCAGCACTCTTGATTTTTTTCCCTTTCTTACTCTTCTTTGATACAGTTTTTAAAATGCTTCCTTAGTAATGAAAAGGAAGGGAAGATGCCCCTCTCACCCTGCCCAAAGAACAGCTACAAACATCCCCCAAAAGCCATCAGTGGGTGGGAATGTCAGCTCCGTGATGTGGACAGCCACATTTGAGCAGCTGCCGTCACCACCACCACTGTCACCCAACAGCTTCACAGCCATCGCAGCAGCTCACAGGCTCCACGGCCCCTCCAGACCCACCATCTCCCCTTCCTCTCTCCTAGCCACCGTGGGCAGGGCCATGCCCACCCCGTGTCCGGACAAAGGCAACGTCCCTGGTGCCATGGGAGCATGTCACCTGCTGCCACGCAGAGTGCCCAGCTGGCAGGACCAGGACAAGGGCACTGAGACCGCAGAGATGGCGGGGTCTGAGCCCTGGCATGTGGCAGCACTGGCAGGGAGAAGCAAGCTAAAGAGCCGAGACAGCTGCCGGCAGCGTGGGGGACTGCCAGTTCCTGCGCTAGCAGCTTGGCTTCAGTTTCTTGGAAATATATCATTTGTAGAATAAAATCCTGCCTTCAGCCGCCAGTCTCTCGATGAGGCTGAATTCGACATCGGCGTCGTGGACCCTTGTCCTGCGAAAGGCTCCAGACCAGCGGTTTTTCTCCCAGTAGTGGTGCCAGTTCCCTTTATCGTCTGCTCCGAAGCCAAACACGGAGACCTGCGCATACGCCAGCAAGGGCCATCGCTGCGCGGGCGCTCGGTCGGCCGGAGAGCAGGCAGACAAGCGGCGCAGCGGTGGTACCGC